TTGTTGACCCTAATTTATACAAGCTATTGCTAAGACTAAGACAGTAGAGTGGAAACTCCAAATTTCTGCTTTTACAAACTCATCACCATTACAGCCCACAACCCATATCTTGGGGAAACATGGATAAGAAATGAAGGAAAGAGGGAAACAAAAGGCAATGTTGAACATGAATTCACAAGCCATTATGCATGGTCACAAGTGGTAAAGGATCTGCATCCTCTGCTTCATTTTACATGTCACTATACTTCTAATTACCTAAAGGCTCTTTTTGTATTTGCCAAGCCTTTTTTCTATTCTTTCCCTACAACCAAAATAGGCTAAGCATTTGGGTGCTTAATTGGTGTTTAATAGAGGGTTTGGGTCTTACATAAGTCACCGATTAAATAAATAAGTAGATCTGATTTGACACAACTAATAAATGAATCGAGTATGAGTGAACTCAATAAAAAAATCACAATATGACACGATTCATTAGATACGAATTAATAAAAGAATCGAGTATGGTTGAAATATTTTTTAATACGAACTCATCCCACACGATTGACAAACCTAATGATGACATCATTCTAGTCTTAGTAGGCCAATATTTTTTCCCAGGTTAACCTTTTTCTTAATCTTTTTTTAAAACAATTCAGGGCAATGGACCAGGCCATGGGCTTACCTAGCAAGTCGTCTTTGCAGCTCGGGCTATCGAGACACCACGTGACAGATTGGGCCAACTATGCTGTGGGCCTTGGACTTTTTACACAGGCGGAAGCTCATCTGCCCTCAACAAAAGGTCAATTTGTGTTTTACCTTTTTGGATTTTTATTTCCTCTAAGTCATGTACCGTCAAAATTTACTTTAATCATAGTTAGTTTATTTATAATTGTACATAGTCAGATTCGTAGTGCGTGGAGTTCGTACTATATATAAAACCATGTTTAAACCATATTTAAAGATTTTTTGTGTCAAATTTAGTTGAGTTGATGAATATAATTAGTCTATTTGTTCATTATCCTGAACTTGTTTATTAATTTTGTCCAAAATTATTTAGAGCGGAGTAACTCTACGCATACAATATTTTTTTCAAAATTACACCAAGTCATTGTGGATTGGAATAATTATTTTTATTATTTATTTTTATTTTTAAATTTTTTTTTTTTTGGGGAGGGGAGGAAAAAGGGGGCTTGAACCCTTGACCTTAAAAAGACAAAACCTTCACAAGGTAAGAAATATCATTAGACCTAAGGCCTGTTGGTGGATTGGAATAATTATAAATCGGGTTCTTTGGAAGCTAGTACACCTAATTAGACTTATTTGGTAAAAAATACATAAAACAAAATATTTTGGAAAAAAATACACAGTTGAGATACAAAGACGTAAATCTCCATTTTGTAAAATTTTCTTTCATAAAAACTTTAACAAGACATTTATTAAGCGCTGAAATTTATGGTCATTTAATTCAAAATCTCTTATTTTTAATGCACCTTGATTCATGCGTATTTGTGTTTTGGAAAGTGGTTTTATTTTCAAATTATATTTATGCAGTAAATATTTACTACTAATAGTTTTATAGGAGAATTTTAATATTCCGTTTATTTTAGAATATATCACTTGTTTGAATTTCAAAATTTGTTAATATCCGAACTTCATAATAGTGTAACAAATACACTGTAACAAAGACAGTATAACAATACACTGTAACAAAAATAATGTTCAGCAGTTTTGTGCATATGGTAACAAATTCAAAATGGAGTATTTTTGTGCATGTGGTAACAAATTCATCAGGAGGAAATTTCTTTGAGAAAGTCTTCACAAAATTTTCAAAAAATGGAAAGAGCAATAGAATAGACAATTTTGTCACATAAATGCAAATAGTCAGTGACCTGTTTGGGTTGGACCATGTTGTGCCCATGGGCTTATAGACTAGCTTCTCATCTCACTCGGCCAGTCCATGATAGGTGCATTTCTTTGGCTGGACTGGGCCTAGGCCATCCTTATCTTTCCAATGATATGCGGCCTGAATCTTTCTTTGTCTCGAACCCCATACACCTATAGTAATGGTAGAGTAAGGAATCGCTCCAAAGCGGAATTGACTAGTGATGGTTGGTCAAAGCTCCTATAGGTAGTCAGTCCTTTCTCATGGAATCGTAAGTGAGACTTCCGTATTTATGGCACCATCCCAAGCTTCTATCGTCGGCCTTGTCATTAGATCATTATCTATTTCGGGGGAGTAATATTGTCTTAACAGCCTTAACCTTACTTTGAAAAATTATTCTAAAAAATATTTGAAAGTTTTTTACTAATGGCATTATCATTAGATTTATGAGTATCTATCTAGTAGAGAAAATTCATAAGTTACACGTGCAATTGGGTCAATTTTAAAATGTCAAGAGATCGTCGTGTCATTTTCATCAAAACTCATGAAATTCATAAATAATCTACAAACCATTGAAGTTGAGATAAAAAAAACAAAAAATCCATTGAAGTTGCGGAGGAGGAGGATTATTAGTCACAAGATTTGCCCGTTTTCTTGCTCGGAACGCAAGGAGTGAATTCGCCATAAATTCGTGTTCCCATTTTTTTGAATTCATAAATCCAAAAATAAATTCGTCAATTAAACATTTAAATTACTCAGGGTTAGGAGCCCAAATGCTAACTTGGGCTAGTCCAAATATTAAACTAACTTCTCATATTTTGTACCCATAGAATATTAGGCTTTCCAACTCAGAAGGTCAACCCGCGGTAATGAGAACTGCCACTCACCTTGATTTATATTCAAGTGTTGGTGGGAAGTTGCCTTCCCTATCCAACGTGGGATCACCTCTCACGCATAAATATGCCTTTCAAATTTTTCTGATTTTTTTTAACAAGAAATGCTTTTTGATTTAAATAATTTATTGTATAAAAATTAGAATTTAGCTTTTTAATTATATTTTTTTTTATTAATTTCAATTATTGTAATTATGTATGTATGCATAAACTATGACGTTTTCAAGACGCTCCCCCTCTAGGGGTTTTTAAAAAATTTCTGCTCTCGTGTTCCCGCTTCTACTCTAAGTGACTTAGGGAGGATTCTTTCGGCCTTTGCTATATTTTTAAAAATATCAGTTGAGTCGACATTTTTAAAATCACTTTCAGAAAAGTATTTAGATTTAGGAAATAAGTTTAAAAATTAAGGGTTCAACTTGGGTAGGTCAACCTGAGCCCAATCCAAAAAAATCAGGATTTGGATTGAGGTTTTAAAATTAAGAAATTTTGGAGACCGGTTCTTCTTTATGGACTTATTTGGAGATAGGTCTATCAAGAAAACTATTTAATATTTTGTCCAGTTTGATTTTCATTGTTTAAAATACCCTAATTAGTTATATTTAATTAACACAAATGTAGAAACTAAAAAATCCTAAATTTTAGGAGTTTCATAACATTAAAATTCTCTCTCTTATATTTAGTTATATTCATATATAGAATAGAACTATTTAAAAATAAAAAATAGTAACATTCAAATACAAAAATTTTACCACTTAAACAAACAAAAAATAGTGACATTCAAAAAGAAAAAATAGTAATATTGAATATTAATATTTAAAAAAATAATATCAATAACATGGTCAACAAAAAAAAGTAACATTGAATATAATATTTTGGAAAAATAGTAACATTTAATATTAACAGTAACATGCTCATCTAAAAAATAGTAACATAGAAAAAAGTAGTAATATACATAACAAAAAAATAGTAACATGAAAAAAAAATAGTAACATATATAGTAATATTCAATATTAAATTAACCAGTCTTCTCACCCAAAAAAAAATCGAATCTATCGAACCTACAATTTCTAATTGAGATCTGAAACAAGCCCTACAATATGAATCTAGAAAATAAAGAATTTCTAGATAACATGAATTAATTTATGTGGAACTTCCATCTGATTTTTGGACAATGGAGTGGAGAACTTGTGGGTTAGTCAAAATATGTTGGCCCATACTTTCTTAAAAATGTATATAACCTTTTTGATTTTTATGTTTTTTCCAAAACTTATCACCATTGTTGTTGTCTCGAGGATTGTAATATCAAAAACTAGACTTTGCACGAAGTTGTTCGAGGAAAGATTGTTGGGGTAGGATAAGTCTGAAAAGACAAGTTAAAAATATTTGGGACCACTGAAGGACCAACTGAAGTATTTGATCGAGAAACAATCTGAGTGTGAAGTTTTCCAGAGGAAAGTCACCGTAGACAAGATAGAGAGAGAGATGATAGTGATGTCAAATTTAAATTTGAATATCATATTTTATGAAAAAAATCTTCCATTAAGTGTGAGTCAAGATAATTGTTTAGGAAACTGATTTAATGTTGAAGATTGCTTTTAAGTCATTAGAAGAGTATTTTAGAGTTTTAAAAAAATAGTAGACTTAATTATTTATTAGTAAGATTAAAAATAAACTTATTTCTAAATAAGTTTAATTGACAAATTAAACTCATTATAAGTCCCTTAATGAGAACTCAATCCCAATTTTCACTTTTTAAGTTGGGCCTAGACTAGAAAACCCCAATTCGAATTTAATTTGAGCAGTGCTCCAATTGAGGTGTCGGATTTACGGGTTGAATTCGAACCCAACCCAAAATAATTAAATTGGGTTTACCCAATTATAGAACTCAGGCCCAACCTGAAAATATACATATATATATATATATATATATATATATATATATATATATATTATTAAACTAGGTTTCAATTTCTTTCGCCAGTCGCTTATTCTCTTAGACAACCAACTCCATCGTTTCTCTCCATCTTTTTGGAGAAAATCCCTCTCTCTCTCTCTCTCTCTCTCTCTCTCTCTCTCTCACACTTGCTCCCCCTTCTCTGCCTGTCTGCAATCTCCACCATCTCCTATTCGCCTACCAAAACCCTAAAAAACCTAAAAATCCTCTCCACCTCCCCCACCTCACAGTCCCATCTTTTTTCACCGTAAAACCCTAAAATCCTGGTAGTGAAGCAATTGGATCTGTAACAATGTCGATGTCGAAGAGCTCGAAGATGCTTCAATACATCAATTATCGGATGAGAGTTACCGTCCAGGACGGCCGTCAATTGGTGGGCAAGTTCATGGCCTTCGACCGCCACATGAACCTCGTTATCGGAGATTGCGAAGAGTTCCGGCAACTACCTCCGGCGAAAGGCAAAAAGAACGAGGAGTGAGAAGAACGAGTGAGAGGAACGACGTACTCTCGGCCTCGTACTCCTCAGGGGCGAAGAAGTCATTTCAATGACCGTCGAAGGTCCTCCTCCTCCCGACGAGTCTCGAGCCAAAGGCGCCGGTTCCGTCCAGTCTGGGCCCGGTGTTGGTCGGGCCGCGGGCCGTGGCGTCCCCACTGGGCCGCTTGTTCAGGTCCAACCTGGGTTAGCTGGGCCGGTTCGTGGCGTTGGTGGGCCTGCCCCTGGAATGATGCAGCCACAGATTTCTCGCCCGCCGATGAGTTATCCCCAACCGCCAGTTATGCGGCCGCCGAACCACATGGGGGCCCCTTATCCTGGCCAGGCGCCACCTCAAATGCCTAGGGGCCTGCCCCCACCGCCTCAGTTTGCTCAGCGGCCAGGTGGGCGGCCACCTGGGTCATACCCGATGCCGCCTCAATTTGCACAGAGGCCGATGGTTCCGCCCCCTCAGATGATGAGGGGACCGCCTCCCCGACCTGGGATGCCGCCTTCCCCGCACCCTGGTATGATGCCTCCACCGGGTGGTGGTATTGCAGTCTATGGCCCACCTCGTCCTGGGATGCCACCTCCACCAAATGCCCCTCCACAAAATCAGCCACCACAGCAGTGATTTGGTAAGATGTTTTGAAATTCAATGCGTTTATTGAATCTAATTATAATGCACATTTCTATTATCTTTGCTTGAACTTGGCTAAATGTTGTTGTAATGCTCTACATAATAATTAAATGTTTAGACGATCTCGAGAATAAGGGAAATCAAATCTTCTGTTTGGGTAGCTGGTAGAGAAATCTTCCCTTAGATTGTGTGTTTCTGTCCTGTTGGAATGTGAGATTTTGAGGTAGTTCTATAATTCATAGGTGCAATAAATTATTGATATTAGTGTTGTGAATGAGGTCAATGTTTGGTGCAGTGATTAAAGTATCGTGTTTTTAAACATATCAAGTGTTAAGTGTATGTTCAATTCAGTCTGTCTAGCACCCTCAATGAATGCAGACTAAGTTGTGTAATGACCAATTTAGTGTGCACAAAATAACCTCATGATGCTCCTTTTACTATTGCCAAGACATTGAGACATATTCTTGAGTTGTTTTATTTCCTTTTGAGTTCCCTTCATCTTCTTGTGTATTCCTTCATATTCCTTGTGGAGACTTATGGAAAAATAAGAAAGACTGTTATAATGTGGTAGAGGTTGATGCATTGGACAGCTGGTCCTACTGACTATGTAAATTGATGGTTGGGGGACCACTTGCATTTATTCTAGATGGAAGATGTTTTTTTTTTAATTTTTATTTGAAACACTTTGAAAAAGTACCACATTGATACCATAAAAATTGATGATCCGGGGCATTTTGGTTTTACCGTTGTTGCATAGCTAACACTAGTATTTTGAAGAGTTGTACTAGATTACGATTTATTCATAGAATATTTGTTTTTAATTCCAAGTCATAGTATTTGTTAAGATTTTGGATGGTGGTGCTCCCTATGCCTTTCCATGTATGTGTCTCATTGATCTGTTCAACAAAGTTTTGGTCTATGTTTATGATTCCATAACTAATGTATCCCCATTTAGTTGAAGCTTGAACTTGATGGGGCACCCTTTTTTTCCTGTCATCTTCTCGGTTTGTTTTTGCCTTCTCTGACTTCTACTTGAATTTTGTTGCTTTCTATAATAGTGAGTCATATGACGCATCAAAATAAAAAAAGTAAGTCATATGCTGGATGTTGTTAGCTTCAATGTATTTGAATTTTGAACCACTTGGGTGACCTTCTTGGGATTTGCATTTGGTGGGTTGTATTTCATTTCACATGGAAAGTTATCTTTCATTATATGAGTGATTTGAAAATGAAAATCTTGCCGTACCCAAAAAAAAAGGAAAACCAATTTTCAAATGTAAAAAGAAAACAAAAAGTAGAGGCCAAATGTAAAGTTTTGGAAATTTTGAATTATATGTAACCATATATTATTTGAATTTTTGTTTAGTTTTTTGGTCGTTAGAGAGGATATTGGGTCCCTTAATCTATGTTATCAATGGTGTGGTTCAAACCAAAGTGCTTGCTCCTGTGTAGTCCTGCCTTTATAGGAGTTTAGGCACTAAAGTAGTATAAGATTAGAAGAAATTGAAAAGTAGATGAAAACTACTAGGGGTGACGATTTTTGATACGACACGCGAAATCGACACGAAATTAGCAGGTTAGGGTTGATTGTTTTTCGACACAAACCCGTAAATGACACGACCCGTTAACACGAATAATATAATGGGTCGAGTTATTGTAAAACACGAAATTGACACAAACTAGTATTATAGCAATAAAATGTTAATATTTATTATATTTTATCAAATAGTGATAAAATTATTGTATAAAAAAAGATTTTTACTCATTTTTATTATTATATTTATTAAATTAATTTTTAGTCTATAGGAAAAGTATCGAGTATAGGTTCATTAAGTGATAATTAAATGTTAAACTTAAATCTGAGCGTTAAATTTTTTATTCACGATTTATATGGGTCAACAAGAACATAAATAGATCGTTTCTACTCGACACGATTAGTTAAACGGTGTAAGCTAGAGATGATTAATGATCGACACGGCCCTAAAATGACACAACACAAACAGGACACGACTCGATTGCCACATCTGAAAACCACAACCCATGATTTCTGTCAGAAGAATGGTGTAGAAAGAAAAGGTGATTGAATCTCACACCAATAGTACTTATCTAGAATAGTTGCTCTAAAATACTCCAAACTTGGCATTCCAATCTTCTTTGGCTATATTTTTCATTTCTATTTCCGTTGACAATACTTACATTGTCGAAAGTGCATTATGAAAAACGAATTCAAGTGCTTAAGTAATAGAACTTGCATTAAAATTACAAAGAAAAATAAACTTAGATGTTGTCACGTGCACACTTTTAGGAATTTAGAAAATAAACGAAAACTAAAATTGGGGAAATAAAACCCAATAAGAGTAGGGGAAGGGGTGAAAACCTCCGATGGTTCAACTCAAGAAGAACCGAATCTCCAAAATTTTACAAAAAAGTTTATCACAATATTCAATATACCATTTCCATTGATAGAAAGACATTTAAATCCAAGATGATAAAAATTACCTTAATATCTAAATTAACTCATGACTCTACTATCTTAGTAACTACCAAGAAAATCCACAACATACACTATCACTAACTATTCACTAATAATCTTTCAATAACTAACTCCTAGATTACATAAAAAATATATTAAAATGTGCACATAACAGATGCATACCTTGGCCACTAAATTTCCCCTGAATTGTTGGGACATTATATTGTAATTTCTTTCTCCTTATTTTTTTGCATCACTCATTTTTGTTTTTTTACACACATAGCATTGCTTTTCAACTCATAAAAACTCTATTTGATTTTCTTGCAAAGTAAGCATGCTTTAGAATGCTTAATTATTTGCAGGCTAAGATTCCACATATATTAGGTGGCAGGTATTTTTTTATTAAACTGACTACCAAGATGATTTTTCTTTCCAATTGACAATATGTCAACATTTAACCAACTATGCTATAAATGGTTTTGGTGTTGCTAAGGTGATTTCAATTTTCATGACACTAAGGTTCTTTTTTGATAAAGGAAGTATATTATGTCTAGATAAAGAAAATCCCTAACATACAAAGCTCAAAACCCTCCTCAAATCCCTTTTCTCACATATCTTCTCTCAAATGTCACTTTCCAAGCATAAGAAGAAAAGGAAAAGGGAAAGATTAAGGGAATGAAAACATTTTGATTTCAAAGTCTCAAGTGCTACTGTAACGTTTGCTTGCAATCTCTATTGAGCCATCATTTTCAACATACTCTCACGCCTCCTAGTGAATTGTATCTTCTGATTCAGGTGCATATGTAAGTTATGGCGCGCTTTACTCTCAAACTCCAGTTTCATTTCACATCACCTAAACAGCAGCTTCAATACCCAACAACAATTCCTTCATAGTCCATAGTCCACGGTGTCTTACAAAAAACTGCAAAGCAGATCATGACTCTCTTGAACATAAATAATCCAAAAGTCCCTCTACAAAATCTTGACCACCCATTTGCATTATCAAACCAACAATGAGATTGTCTTTATTAACTACCTTAACCAGTTTGTAACCATTAATTCCACCCTCCCTGTCACACACTCAAGTTCAGTTGGAAGGGACAGAAAACATTGGATTACTCCCGAGGCAGGTACGGTAAAAGTAAACTTAGATGGATCGATATTTAGAAAAGCTGGATGCTCTAGAGTTGGGGTTGTATTTCGAGATGAGACTGGCAAGTTTGTAATGGGACTGAGTAGGAAGATTAATGGGGTGTTAAGTGAAGAAAATCTGGAGGCAATGGTAGCTGTGTGTACCCAGATGGCAAAGGAAATCAATATCCCGCTCTTGGAGTTGGAAGGAGATTCAAAAACAATTATTAATCTGGGGAATATGGAGTATTCTGAGATTAGACATTTTGTGGATCAAATCCTAGACTACTCAACTAGGCTACTAAGTTTAACGACCTCTTGGGCGCATAGACAAGAAAACTTAGCTGCCCACTGCCTCGGTAGATATGTTATCAATTGCTCAGCTTTTTTGTATTTGGAAGAATGACTGTCCAGAATTCTTATCATCCTATATTCTTTTTGATGTAACCTCTTCAAGTTCATGAATTTATAAGATCGTTTTCATTTCAAAACAAAAAAAAAAAAACCCAGGGCCCTTGAGATTGGATTTGCATGAATTTTTATATAATTATTGGAGCAGAACCACACAAATGTCATAGTAGGGATGAGGAGAAAGTTGTTGATATTGTGAGCAATATATTGATCAATAGAATTAGGTCACCTACAAGGCACTACGTCCTACTCCGTCTTTTTTATTATAGGGATGGTAATTTTGGACATGATATGTTAAATAAGTTCAGAGAGAAGGTTAGATATTCTTCAAGTAATTTTATATCTGCCTCATATGTTTCTACTATAATACTGATTGGAGGACATACACAAGATCAGTGACTAAATTGATATTTTTGACCTCTTTTTTAACCTAAGCTACCTCCTTGGGTACCACCTTTATGGTTTTTTTTATTCTAACTTGCTATATTTATTGGGTAATGTTGAACTAATCAAAAAATAGAGACTAAATGATGTGATACTAATAAGAAAAATAAATTTTAAATTTTAAATTTTAAATTAATAAAAGTGAGACAAAAAATATCATTACTTCAAAATTAAGATATTGCCTCTTAATCTTGGGTGGAGCGCCTCTGCTATTAGAGGTCTAACAACAAAGTTTGCGGTTAAGTGGAATGGTGCAGTTCAGCCAAGAATCTAAGAACCTAACATCCAGCAATAACAACGTCGTACCTGCCAAAACACAGTTCAAAAAAAAACTCGGCTCAAAAATCGTTTACTCCAGTTCTATGCAATCTTTTCTTCTCGTCTTTACCTTCTTCTGTTACATTACATATCTGTTGATTTTTGTTTGATTTCTATATTCATATGTCTTCTCTACCAGAAATTCAAGTTCGAGTTAAAGAGAAGATGAAATCTATGAGTTAATCTAGGGTTTCTTGGTTCTGGGTCTCCTCAGATTTTAATTTTAGCTAAGCCAAACAATAATCTTTTTTCACTTTGAAATGATTGTTTAGATGTTATACACACCCGTCCCCCCACTTCCCCAATATTCTTACCTCCTCTGCATGTACCTTTGAATGAATTCAAATTGGTAAGACAAAGTGTTTTTGCTTTTTGTGCGGTATATGATTGCGGGTTGGGTTTTACTTTGGATTTTTTGTTGATAATCTGCTAGTTTCTGAGATTCTGTATATTGTTTTGTGTTGTATGTTTGTGGGTTGTGTTTTCATTTGAATTTTTGTTTATAATTTGTTAGTTTGTGGGAGATGATGTCGAAATTCGAGGTTAGGAAGAAAATTGGTGAGAAGTCAGGAAATGGACTTGTTGCTGTGATGCACTGATGTTGTGATGCTATGATTTTGAGCTGTTTTGTTGTGGAATGTTGTTGTGGCTATTCTTTGCTGTGTTGTGACTGATTTTCATGGGTAGAAGAGGCTTCTGCCATGAAAGTAATAAAGGTGCTCTTGGAGCATTTTGAAGGAGTTAAGTCTTTAGGTGTATAAAGAATGTATTGCTGGGATTTTTGGTATCAACTTATACAAACATTTTTATTTTTTGTTTGTAGTGTCAAAGAATGGCATTGGTGAATGAAGCTTATTTGCATGGTTGGATCCTCCTTAACCTTCTAATCCTCAAGAGTTGAATAATGAACGTAATGGTGTTGAAGCTGCATTGTGATCAAAGGGCATGGGTCTGATGTATGGAGGCAAGGCTTTCCAGCTGGGCAGAGAGAATGATGCTTAGAGTAACAGAAAATGGCTTGAGTCCTTTTGAAGGATTAAAGTCATTTTCTGTGTTTAAACATTTAAACTCTTATTCATTGATTCTTGTATTTTTTCCATTATTTTGTTCTTGTAATCTCCTGAATTCATGGAATAGAATTTCTCTATATGGAACTAGTTTGGTGTATTGGTGTATTGGTTAAAGGTGGCTCATAGTATGAGTGAATGTGTATTGGTTGGTTGAACATGGTGCTTTGGTGTATTGGTTGAAGAAGGTTCAGGACGTGAATGAATGTATATTGATTGTTTGAACATTATGCATGGTATATAACAAAAATTGTACTTGTCCAAGATAACTACACATTGAACACCATGAATTATACATAGGTGAGATCAATTCTATAAAGAAACAAAAATAAGATCATGTACATGGGTGTTTCCAAAGGGATGACAGATCTTCTAAAACAAGAAATAGAAAATCCACCATCTAAATAGTAAAAGAATACATTGTAAGTTCACATTTCAAAAGGATCAAAAAGAAATTGTTAAGATCAAGCATAACTGGACTTCAAAATTTGACAAAAATTGCAACAACATCCAGCATTGTAGTAGTATCATTGCAAAAATCAGCACCAAAGACAACAAACCACAAGCAATCTCCAATCATCTATGCAACCAACAACTCAACCAAAAGATCAAAATCAATTAGCAGCAACATCATTGCAAAAATCAGCACCAGAGAAAACAAACCACAAACAGTCAACCCCCAATCAGCAGTAGGCCAGAACCAACAATCAACAAGAGACAGAGGATGAAAGATCGGCTAACAAAAATCACACTTATCCAATATATCAACTATTGATTGTCCACCTCGATTCTCCTCATTAGAATAATCAACAACGTTGACCAAGAAGCATGATTCAACATTTATCTGAGCATTTTGTGAACTAATTGATGCTTGAGAATGGATATGAGTGATTATAAGTTGATGCCCATGAGTAAGTAAATCCATTCATATGTGAATTTTGCTCATCCAATTAAGATACCTTCAAAACAAGCATTCAAAGACATAAGATACAATTAAGAAAAAATAAGAATCCAAAATATCATAACCATAATGTTGGGGTTCTAATACCTTAGACCTATAGGAAGTTCCAGTTTTCCTCTTCGTTGGCTTCTCATGCCAAGGCTTCAATTAACCCCAACCCTTGTAACCACCATCTTTCCTCTTCAAACCAGCTATTCGTAGAATGTTAGGGTCAACATTTTCTACTCCTTTAGAGAGAAAGAGAGATTTTCTACTCCTTCATCACCATTATTGTTCTCCTCACCACCGAGTGATGCATATATAAAATCCACTTGTTTGAACAACTCATCAATATCGCGGTTCACCAACTGGTGTGCAGGCTTAAGATTAGAACAACAAGCTGCTAAATGGACCATTTTAGGACATAACTGTCTGTAATGTGATTCTGCCATTAACTTGGGATCCTCCTCATTTAGTGTGGTACTGGAATAAGAACTTGACCACTTTCTTGCATCTCGCCTCTATCTCTATATTATGTATTGGTAAGGACTTTGCTTAATGTTCATCGTGTCTAGCACTTTAAGTGCATGACCACATAATATCTCAATCATTTCAAATTTTCGACAGCTACACAAAATGGTTTGCTCATTAACATTGATCAACATCATATACTTTCTCTCTTCATCATATAATTCCACCACAAATTCATGACATCCACCAAACACATTACAAGGATTTGCAATAGCACATTGGAATACATCATATTCATCTTGAAATAAATCAAAAATAGGATGAGTGTAACATTGCGCTGCTTGCACCAACATAGGAACTCTTTTCAACTTCATTCTAGGCAACTGTTGCCTATCTTGATATTCCTTCTCTGTCTCATTATATCTCTTATCATTTAAAACCCTATCAAAATGAGTAAAAAAATAAACAATATCATAGTCTGGCTTTAAGTATTTTCGTAATGCTAAGTTCAAGCTCTCACTTAGCTGAATACTCCTCATACCTGCTGTGAAAGTCTACTTCATATACACATGTGCTCATTTCTCTCTTAGTGTCCAACTTGAATTCAAACAACTGTTATCGTGCAAATCATACTCATCAAGCAACAATTTCCAAGTATCAACTAACGCATGCTCTTCCTCGTATCCATACATGCACTCTTTAAATTGGGCTAAAAATTTTGAATCATCTTTATATATGTTCCCTAAATATTTTCAAGCATTTTGGGAAAAGTGCCAACAACATAACTCATGATATGTCTTTGGCATCACTATAGATATAGCTTTAGCCATTGCTTGATTTTGGTCAATGAAAATGGTAACAGGCTTCTTCCCAGACATTGTTTGTAAGAATGTCTCAAATAACTACTGAAATAATGCTGCAGTTTCATCGTATAATAATGCAGCACCAAATATCACTGTCTCCCTAAATTGGTTGAATCCAATCAAAATGCCTAAGAGTCAATACTCCTTGTTTGTTCGAAATGTGGTGTCAAATGTGACAACATCCCAAAATGGTCATAATCAATAATCATCCCCGGATCAACCCAAAAAATATTTATTACGCGCTCTTCGACATCCAATTGGACTCCATAATAAAATGATGGATTCTTAGCTGCTTCAGCTTGAAAATATTGCAATAAACTATCTGCTTCACCGTATTTCAAGTCTCGCTGCCTCATTTCTCGAATGTAATTTTTTTTGTTTTGATTAGTGAATCCTAAGCTTTCTCTCCCACCTGCTTGGGTACTCAAAAGCTCGTAGGATGCCTTAAGTGATATCCCACAATCCTCAGTAATATCAACATTGATGCCTTGAGCTACACTAACTTTCCATTAGAATGACATCATATGCATATATTTGATTAAGTGTAAAATGTGATTGTGTTGGTCTTCCCATTTAACAACAAAAAATTTACCAATATCTCTCTTGAAGGATATGCACATGTGAGCAGGGCAATTTGTTCGAGTCTCTACCCTAACCTTTGTTGTTTTCCAATTCCTTTGATCTTTACTCATTTGTCCCTGTTTACAACATACATATTTTCTGTAAATTAATTCACCATTCTTCAAGCTCTTGTTGTGATAATCTTTTCTCACACTGAATTCCACAGTTCTACCATAATTGTTATAGAACTTATAATCATCTTCTTCCTAGTCAAATTGCATTCTCATACATGGAGTATTGTCTACTTTATCAATCTCAACACATTCCATCTTGACTATAGATTATGTCCTCTACAGTAACCAAACACTTACACAAATTAAACATAAGATCAAAAACTGCCCATATAAATTTTCAATTGCAAATGGAACAACTAAATACTTATTTTTTAGGGAAAGAACAAGAAAATTTTATGTATCAAAGCCTATATAACTCAGTTTCTTCAAAGCCTAAAATATCAACACTCATACATCAAACAATCAAATATACTCACAAAAACGTAGTAGAAAGAATGACGGTAGTCACAAAATTCTATCGAGATTTTACAGGAAATTTTAAAAAAAAAGTTCTGAAATTTATGAACTGGAATTTCATAAAAAAATTATGAAGAAATATCAACATTACCCATTGCATGGTTGGATCCTTCTTATCCTCAAAAGTTGAATAATGAACGTAATGAAACACAAAAGGTTGAAAATAATGAAAGAAGAGGAGTATAAAAATTTATAGTGATAAATTCTAACATAAAAATTTCATCTCTTACAAAAAAATCAAAGATAATGGTGATATAACAAAATTAATGTTGATGCAATAAAGATCAATAAATATGATATAACATAAAATTACTTGATAAATTTTTTAAGATGTTGAGTAGAACAAGAAGATTTTTGCTCTGTGAGATTTGTGCTATTGGTGGGAGAGAGAACTTTGTTGGAGCTTGGATGGACTGTGTTTTGGCTTGGTGAGGGACGACGTCGTTGTTGCTGGAGCTTGGAGAGATTGTGTTTTGGCTTGGCGGGAGAAATAATATGATATAACTTTGGAGATGGATGACGTCGTTATTGCTGAATGCTGGGTTCTTAAATTCTTGACTTGGAACAGCAGCGTTCCACTTAACGGTAAATTTTATGATTAGACCTCGAACATCATAAGAGCTTCACCCCTTAATATTATCAAAAATTATGAGGGATGTAAATATAATTTAATTCGAAGCAACTCTTAATTATGATCTGGTGGATTAAATAAACATCACATGATGACAAGAGACACACCCATTCTTGCTTTCATTAAACTCAGTGCCATTAAGTCTCCAACGGTCAAAAATTTCAAACCATCCAAAAAGATTCAGGCCCTTTCCCCTGAGCTCCATTCCCATGTTCCCTCTCTCTCTCTCTCTCTCTCTCTCTCTCCATGACGGCTATCCAAGCTAGCCGCCCTCTCCTTTGAGACATACCCACTTTTAGGGAACCCAACAGTGTCTCATAATGGGGTGCTTTATCGCCTGCTTTGGTAGTTCTAAGCAAAGAAAAACAAGAAAGCCGCCCACTACATCTCCTAGTGGAGATCAGGTAAGCCCAAATCCAAGCTTAATTTGAACAATCTCGGTCGAAATAACTTCATGTTTATTTCTCTATCACTCAATCATTCACTCCTATTCAAAATTTGTTGCAGAGACATAAAGCATGTGAAGCTCTTCAGCCCACCAATCTCATAAAACAAGAAGTCATTGCAGACACCCATAAACCCATCCCAGATTTAAGGTAAGCTATTAGCATCTAAAGGAAAAAAAACAGGTTCTTGATTTTGTTAGTTGAAGCATTAGTTCATACGACGTTTTTGGTTAGTTCTCGATTTTTGGGTTAGGATCCTTTCCATTACTAGATTTCTTAATTTATGCATTCATGCAGTGTATTGGAGGGCATTCAGTTGACTTACTGGTGGGTGCCACAGAATTAGTTCATTGGACGTGTAGTTCATATGTTTTTCTTGGTTCATTCTTCTTTCTCTTCACTTAGTTCTCTTGTTCTTGTAGGTGTAAGCATCAGGATCAATTGAATAGCAATAGCCGAACGAAAGTTACATTTAATTTGAATGTCAAAGCATATGAGGGCTTGGCAACTCAAGAAGTCGCAAGTTGTTTGCTGGAAATTGAGGAGGAGAAAGAGAGAGAAAAGAAAGAAGAAAATCAAAGTGAAAGCCATACTCTTTCCGATTCTAGTTTGTCAAGCCTATTTTCATATCCTCCAAACCCTAGATACCATAATTGCACAAGCAGTGACGAGGAATCAATTGATATGGAGACAAAAGAAAATGATTCCGATGAAAAGGATGATGATTGTGATGATGGTACTGATCATACATTTATTAAAGAAGAGTCTTCTGAGTCATTATTTTCTTTATCAATTGAATCAAGAAAACAAATAGATACAGCTGAAACGGAAGATAAGGAAGTCAATAGTGCTGTAACAATCAATGTTTCACCTGGTAATGAAATGAAAACATTTTGGCCAAATCGAGATGCTAGAGACCGAGGCCACTATGTTCATTCTGTGTTGAACCCAGTTGAAAATCTAAGTCAATGGAAAGCAGTTAAAGCACGAACAATCCTGACATTGAATGACGATGAGAAGGAGAACTTCAACTTAGAGAAAGAACTCAATATCCCCTTAAGTGAAGAGCCCAATTTCAAGCAGTCAAGTCACCGTTCAAAACAAAAAACTGATCATTTGAAGCCACAAGGGCATGAAATTGCAATTGATACCAGCCTTTCAAGCTGGTTGGTTGAATCTGAAAAGATGCCTACTAGCAAGAATAGTCCGAGATCTATTGGGAATTCATCCTCAGAGAGAGGGAACTCATCAAAACGCTTTGAAGATAGGCCAATTTTAGGACTACTGACTGTTGAAGAGCTCAAAAAGTTCTCGGCATCTTCATCTCCAAGACAATCACCAAGCTGTACTGCAGATGAAAAACCCATTGTAGGCACCGTTGGGAGTTTCTGGAGTCTTACAGGGCAGGGAATGGATTCAGACTCTGTTTCATCTTGCAAAGGAGGGTCAGGTAGATCAGCCATGTGCAAAGAGGTACTATTAGATGTGATTTAAAGATGTGAGTTTGATAATTTATGGGCAGGGCTGATAAAGTTCTTGTTATGCAGGGCAAGAGAATGAACAGGTTAGAGAGAGATTTGGACAGAGGTACATCTGGAATTTTGCACCTATAACATTGTGCAACTGGGGTTGTTCTTAGCTCAAGCCTTTATCCTCCTCCAATTGTTATCTCACTACTAATGCCATGCTATATGTATCGTGAAGCAAGTTTGATAGATGATAGTTTTCTGTAGATGACTCACAGCAGATAGAGTCTCTTTTTATTTATATTCATACAAATCTATTGTTTTACTGACTAAATCTTTGTATGTTATCAGTGCATTGGTTGTCAAGGTACATTATCAGTAGATTCAGTGCAGTTTCTTTTTCCGTCCTTACTGAAATGATGTGATGTCAATTTCAATTTGATTGAGCTAGCTGAAGAGGAATGGAATTAAAACTAGGAAACAAATTCCAGTTGGAATGCCAGTTGTAATATAGAGTAGCTTCGCCATGAAACTAGGCAAACCGTTGATTTTGGAACGTAAGAATATTACATATGTCGCGAGGGGCATGATGACTGACTGCTTTATTGTCTATGTATGTAAAAGAAATATTCTTAAGAATCATATGAATTGATCAATATTGCTTACTCAACAATGAAGTGCACCTCAATTGATTGTACCCACTTGATAATGGATGAAGGAAACTGACTAGCAATACTATCAAAGAGAAAAACGGTTCTTTTTTGTTCAGCCTTTCATTTTGCTGAATTTGAGAAAACTCAAAGATTGTTGGTTTTTGTTTCATGCTTTTATTTGCATATGTATGCACTGTAAATGTATTTTTATGGAATGACCACAAATGGATACTTTGCCTTCACCCTCAGCATGAATCAAATAGAAGTCCTATTGACGTGTTTTGATAGATAAAATAAAGAGTTGTCTTACTTTCAATTATTTTGTACTAAAATTACTTTTCCCCTGTTATATTCAATTCTTCGGCATTCATTACTTCCATAATAACTTGTCTTACCACAAATTCTTTCTAACTTTCGGCTCTCACTTCCTAGATGAGTGCTAAGAGGTTGAACTTTATAGTGACATGGATGGGCTCTTCAGTCTTTTGTGAGGCTCCCAACTGGGTGACTCAAAAGTTTTGCCATTCCTAGGAGAGATATTACAGTTTTCGAGTCTATTTCCATTTATGAACCACTTGATTTCAAGCCTATATGAACCTTGCATGAGGATTCAGCTTTTTCAGCTTCCATCTGTAGTAAGCTTTGTCCAACCAGGAAGAGGAAATTCCCGGGAGACATAGATGGTTGCAAAGGTTCGGGTTTATGCTTGTTGATTGGGAAGACTTTATGGAGGCCAGGATAAAGAAGCTGATGTCCTTGATGCGTTCATTCAGGGATGTTATCTTGCAGAATGATGACTTCAATTTTTCTTTCCTTTGGTTTCTGCACTTTCCAAGAATAGATAGGCTCAAGGGGCAAAGTGATTTGAGTCATTGGACATATTGGATTCGATCCAATCCTTGAGGGGGAGGGGCTATTGGACAAAGCCTGAAACCAAGACATTAAGTTGCCACACTTCCCTAGCCTTGGGCAATATCTAGGAAAGTATAAAACATCTCAACTATCTTAGGTACATCCCATTTGTTTCCTACCCCTATTTGACCATGATCCTTAATAAAAGGTCTTCTTGTCAAATGCGGTTTGAATGGCTTTGCAAAAAGGGTCTTTAGACACCTGAGGATCAAATCAAATTTTCCTACAATTTCCAGCTTTCCAGACCCTCTTATCCTATAACCCTCTTATCTCTTCAGAATCTACCTCATCCGCTTCAAAGTGGATGAAGCGCAAGACTTATTTGTCGAGCATTGCTTTTTAGGTATCCAGCATTTCAAGTTTTTGTTCACAAAGATTTCTCCACCCTAAGGAATACCAATCCTACCTAAGCAAGTAGGGGCAGTACTAGTAATGCCCAACCTAGAACATCTCATTCCAATGCATCCATATTTCTTGCATATATTCACATTTTCCATAGATGGAGACCAATTTTCTCTGGATAAATAGACCATATAAATGTCTGTTTAACTAATCCAGCTTCTCGAGGTTTAAGTGGAGATCATGCCATAGGGTGGGGAGGGCAGAGAACACTGCCTGAACTAAGGTGGCTCTACCAGCAAAGCTGAAAAGTTCAGCTTTCCATCCTGTGTTGAGCTTTAGCTATGATGTTGTTGTAGGTATTTTAGATAACCCTAGAATGGATGAGGGGGACGACTTCTAGATATCTTTTTACGTCTTTTGTCCACTGAAGCAATTATATTGAACCTATTCACCATCTGCATGACTTTTTGGGCTTGACTGAGGGGAGCTTTGGGGAATAGAATTAAGTCATGACAAAGGGTTTGTTTGATAAAGTAATTAACTTAAAACTGAATATATTCCATATTTTGAGGGACAACTTTTCTAAGTATACAATCAAAATATAAGACAGAGGATAGCTTTATCTAGACCTCACAGTTGAAGAAAGGGGTCATTGTGTATTCCATAAACTGATCATACAGATAGTGGTGACACATCTCTCATCACTAGCTTGGTAAAATAGAAGGGAAAACCAAATTGGGTCTTCAAGGGATTATTACGTAGCATGACTTTTTCACTAAAAGGATCCCTGAATAAGTCTTCATATAGAGCATTATTTTTGTTTCTCCCCAACCAGTTTAAGCAGTAGTGCACTCCTCCTTGGCCTAACCAACTTTTGTTACAATTCGGGCTAGAGTTTGAACATGGGGTAAGGACAGTTTTTGTTTGGTTCTTGAATTCAATCTAGTACTCGTCAAACACACTGGTGGTTGGGCAACTCAAACTCCTACTGATGGTGTTGATTCAATTGCGACTGCTGCTATGTCAGCTCATTCACCGATAAATGGGACTAAATGCATGGACCTCTGCATCTCAAAACTTTGAAACTAGTACTAACTTATACCATTCAAAAGGTGCTCCATCCCTTATGGATAAATAGGTAGAACCGTTATTTCGTTACGATTATGGAAAGCAAGTCTATTAGTACACAATGCTCGTTTAGTGACTAGTGTGAGAGTGATGCGCTTTGTCTTTTGATTTGGACTTCTAAGAACTTTTAAGTTGAGCCAAAATAGGATCCACTATTGTCTTGTCTTTAATCTTTATCTTTGTCTGAGCCTACTACCGTTTATTTGAAGGTAGATTGTTCTGTTACTCTTGACCTTTTTAGGTTTCACACCCATTTGTCTTGCAAGGAACTTAAAAATAACTTGAGCGTTTACCGGCTTTATTTCACCACAGAGCTTAATAGTCATATGTATTAAGAGACCCTTGATCCTAATTGAGTCCAGAAATTGATCCGAGAATGGTTTTGAAAATATTTCTCTACCTCTTCATCTTTGGTGACTTACTCTTACATTCCCCACTATGGAAACTACTACAAGTCTAGGTTCACCCACTACAAAGTTAGTTTCCAGTCAGGTCCTTTTTGGGCTTGTTGATGGCCACAATCCTCCATCCCCTCTGATATTATAACGCCATATATTGGTTGTAGGCTTGTAGCACTTGAGCTTGAGGCCTTTCTCATACTCAATAAACCTATTTGATATCTTTAATGCCCCTCCAAAATGCTGAGGACTCTAATCTTGAGGCCTTGGATCGTAGAAGCAACTTGAAGAAGAGTCTTGAAAGACGCAATTGAAGCACCGACACTGGGGTCAAGTTTGACATAGTTGTAAAGTTGTTTAACTATGATATGTACGTTGCGTGTTTGAATCATGAAAATAGTTTTATCGCATGTAGGTTTAGATTGGGTACCTATGATACTTCCCAGATCCTATTATAGGCACCTTTATTTTCGATAATCCATCTGTATGTTCAGAATTTCACAGTAACATTGACTTGGTTATGAAGGGATACTTTACAAGTCAATTATGTGAATTAGTCAAAAAGAATGGACCAAGAATTATTAGATGGGTCAAAATACAAAATCAATGTCATTTTGGTCCATATTGAAAATCAACTTCTTTTATTGATCATGGAATCAAACAGTTCAAAATCATCCTATTTAGACTATATCCAACGATGGACCCAGGGAAAGGGGGTAGTCTCCTGATGTTTGAAAATTTTCTTAAATTAAATTAGTGTAGGTAAAGTAATTTCTTAAAAACTATAAACAATTTGCTCAAACCAAATTCATCGGTCCGTCCCTAATCTTTACAATAATCACATATGAATTATGTCTCATTTTTGTATTGACATTGATCTAGTGTATTGGAGGCTTAACTTCTCTTCTAAGTCTTTATAGGTGGGGAGGTAAAAGAGGTTGTCACACGTGTTTATGTAAAAGATAATCAAAGAGGGTGAGTAGGGTAGACGGATCAGATGGAAGGAACTCGAGCAGACTGTTAACGAAGGGAATAACCGATTAGGAAGAGTGTAGGTGAAATGCTCTCACCAGCCAAAATTTTCATCCTCTGTAGTGGGCAAGTAATGTGAGTATTTATAGCATAGAACCCGGATAAGTCGGGCTGCTTGAAGGGCTGCCCGCCGCGACCCCTAACACTTGCGCCAACACATAACTACCTTAACCGCAACGATAGCAGTGACCACTAGCCGTGAGCCACGTGTCCCAATCTTAACTTGACAAATATGATGTTTCCTCAAACGTAGCCTAAACACAACTTCAAAGAGGGTGTCACAGTCAAGGTGAAAGGGGGTTTCCAAGATTCATGACCGCGACTGGTCACCATGGGACATGACTTCGAGAGGGTCATGTTCATGATGCCCCTAGCACTCTCCTATCTGGGGTCCTTCTTTCTCTCTTTGGACCCCTCCTCGAGACCTTTGTCGAGGTGTCCGATAAAGGAAACCCACATAATTTCAGTCCTTCAGTCATCAATCCACATGTCTCATTATTCTATATGTTGATCTATATCAATAACTCTAATTACCGTAGGAGTCCCTCTGGATCCCAGTCAAGCACATCTCAATAGGCAGTGAATCATACACTGGGAGGCCTACTCGAGCAGGCTAAACCTCTGAGACCCTGTCCAGGCCAAGGTTGACAATTATGCTCGTTCGCCGTTGTTGCTCAGTTCTCCCTTAAAGTGGGTCATATTACCATGTTCCTAGGTGGTGACCCCTCCTCTTAGTCTGGTGGGCCAATCGAGCAGTGGTGTCCACTAGATAGAGGATACCACTCTTGCAGTGGAAGAGGCGAGTCTTGCCAAGGTTGCCCCTAGACCTCTACAGTTCCACCTTTGTCCACCCTTGATGAA